CATACAAACGCTGCAGCTTCACCAAAAGTGGACACGACGAAGACGGCAACAACGCAGCAGTCTCGGCCTGGCGCCACTGGGAACTCAGTGACCAACGAGTGGACTGCACAGCTGAAAAATGATCTCGGAATTGGCAGTAGCGCGGCCACGAAAACGAGCACCGCGCAGTCGACGGTTGTGGTACCAAAATCGCCACTACAGAACGTGAAAACGACACAGGCGGGTGCAGCAGCACCTCCAGCACGGCAGTCGAGAACCGTGGAATTTGTGTCCGGCGACCCGACTGGCCCGTCGCTGCCCGAGTACCAGTTCGAATTCAACGGGGACGAGAGCGTCGATCATGCGGAAGACGTCTACGCCTCATCGGCCAAGTCTCATACCATCAACAGCCATCCTTCACCCGCAAAGGTAACTGCTTTGGGCAAAGTTTTTGCTTGTATTGACCCTTTTTTTTTGGTGTGCATAAGCAGCAGGACTGGCTTTTTGCGGTCATAGCAATCGTGGAAAAATTGCCAGCTAAAGAGTGATGGTGCGAAGCTGCCTGCATACGCCTTGATGTCCCTTGGTTTTTTTTTATTTTTCTTTTATATTTTGAATTATTAGCCTTTATCGTGGGCACCTGTTAATATGGGTGTGGCTGTGTGAATTTGAGTAGATCTGCTGTTATTTAGATCGAAGTGAGCGCCGATTCGTCGTCTTCGATGCTCTCCAATGGTCCGATGGCTGATTACTCGGCAACGATCAACTCGCAACCGCCACCGGCACCGCCTAAGGCAAGATTTTTTGGTAGGACACCAAGAAGAAAGAGTGTGAAATTATTGAACTTTTTTTAAATTGCTGTCTTTAGTTTACCGATTCCTGAGAGTTTATCGTGGTTCTTAGAATTTGAATCTCTTGGATATGATCAAAATGAAATTTAAAGATGCGCGGAAGGAACTGATTGGAAAAAGGCTGGTAAAAAAACCCCGTGGCATATTTATACCGATGTGAATATATGAAAAGTGTCGAAACTAATACATGTGAAGAAGCAGTTGTGCCAGAAAATGCTTTCTTTGTTTCAGGTGGTATCGGCAAGTGGCAGCAATACGACCACAATTACGCATTCCGGGGCAGCAGCAGCAGCAGTGATTCAGTCCAGTCCGATGCATCGTCAGCCAGTAACATCGGGACTTTCGTATGCCGACACATCGAGCATGTCATATCCGTCAGCGGATAATCGAGCAAAGCTGCCACTTTCATTACATCATCAGCAGGTCTGTTACAGCATCTCAGTTTGTAA